GCAGCCGGTTGAATGCTTTTTTGTAGCAACGCGTTATGCGAAAGAGCTGGACTTGACCGGAGGCCTCGAGGACCTTGTCGAAGTAGGCACGAGCAAGGAGCTTGAACGTCCTCGAATCTGTATTGCCTAGCCAGGCAACAGATCCCAGAGCCGCACAATAGGACACGGATCGAGCGAGGGTCTGGTTTTTGCAGCAAACGCGAAGAATGCCTGAGTTGACCCCTGCGAATACCCTACAAGAGCCAGTGTCTCCCGTCCCGACGTCTCCAGAGCATAGTTGAGCGTTGCTGGCATGTCAAACTTGCCCATGTCTTCCCACAAAAGGCCCAGAACGCAGTGTCTTTGCTCGTGTACTTAACGTGGCTGGACGAGTACGTATTGCCGCGATTATTCCCAAGCCAGACATCGTGGCCAGCATCAGCAAGCACATAGGCGAGACTGTGGTTCCGGGAGTCGCACACCCATGCGAAACTACTGGCCACCATTTCATGCTGGACGAAAACAGCTAGTTTGTTTCGGTCTGCCTTGTCGTTGTCGGTGGCATCTGCTTGGCTTTCTCTGTACGACGTTGGTAAGCGATGCATGGAGAGGATGTATCCATCTATTGTCGTGACATTGTGCATCTCCACTACGTAGCCACGCGCTTGAACGAGCTCAACAGTGGACTTCCCAGCATCTGGATCGAGGTCTAGCTCAGCTGCCGTGACTTTGTCGAAGTGCACGAGCGAGTGAGTTAACGCAAGCAGCGCGAGTTCCAAGCACAGGACCACGAGGGCTTTGTCTCGAGATGAAAAACCTTCTGCAGTGTTGACAGGATGACGTTTACGATAATGAATGTGCGGCACCAAATCACGCAAAACCGAAGAATACACAGCACATATTCGTGCACTTTCGTTCGCCTTCTGTCTTGTGGTCTTCCTTGGCGTCTCCTTTGTCATTTGCACCTCACCAACTGTCGTCTCCTTTACTGCCACCGACTTTCCATCATTTGACTGCTACAAGAGCTCGATGATCCATTCAATTGGGCGAGCAGCACCTCTGTTCAACGTCCGCTTTGTAACCGTCATCGTAATCATCAAGTTGATTACTCGTGTCGTTTCGTTTACTGCCATAATCGGCACAAGTGCTCGTCTGCTGCTGCGCGCGACTTGAGACCGTGTTTTCTGTCGAAAACGCCACATGTGTACGCATTTCGATCAAAAGTAGAATCCGAAACGCTCCCGCGGCAACTCTTAACGTCACATAGGTGAAAGGATATCAGAGACTAGTGACTGAATGTAGAGAGTGCTGACATAATGCAGAGAGTGCTGACTGGAGATGACGTTGTGCAGGTGTTTACTATACTTATTTTGACTACTATTTTATAGGTCAGGTAGGTAAAGATGACGTGAGCCATGTAGTCGGTCTTGGGACGAGGTACATGAGATGACCAGACCTCAGTATAGAAGAACAAGTAAGAGACTGCAGGAAGTTTAGTCGCTTGATGGGTTGAACAAGCATGGAGAATATGCCTGATCGGTGAGAGAAATGCGTACTTACTCGCACGCCGCAGACTTGGGTCGGTGCATCTCACGGGTCGGAACAAAGGCATAAGCGAGGACGACTTCATTCTGAAAAAATCGACATCAGCAACACCCGAGTCTTCAACACAATCGCGTTCACAACCTCACCAGTTTGAATAATCATGGCGAGTGCATGATTCCATTTCTCGATCTATCAATTTACTTGTTGCTGACGTTTCTCTTCTGTGTGCATGTGTTTACTAGTGGATTACTATCGAGATCCAGAACTTGTACAACCTCGTTGAAGAGAGTATCCGTCATGTACTGAGTGTGCTGTCGGAGATTACTTCCAAAGCATGCGGCATCTACGAGAAGAGCGTTAGTCCCACTGATTGGGACTTCAACCAGCTCACCAAGCTGCGCTCAAGTGATGAGAAGCACTGCACCATTGGGTACAGCCACGCACTGCGCCCGCTAAAAGAAACACGCAGGCACAACAAGTGCCATGCTACCCAAGCAGGTATGGCAGATGCCCATCCGGTGAACAGGTTCAAGTTGAAGCCTATTTGCAACGAGATTAATACCAACGAGTTCACACAGCTCGTTGCTACTCGCCATCCTGATGAAGATGGTGAAGATAGGACGTGGTACAGCCGGACACTGCTCCATTTAAAGAACAAGCGCCAACGCCAATTGAGCCACTACGATCGAGCTGATTCGTTTTGTTCGACAATCTCAAGTGTTGACTAGTTTACACTTACAATGTCTTAGCCCGTAGTCTAGCGATAAACGTTTTTAATCTATCTATCTGTTAAACATGGTTCGCGACTTTGTTGATGTTAACAATAAAAGCATACTCAAGAAACATGCGCAGTCACAGCAACAATACTCTGTACTGATGCGACAGCCTTCTGTAAACGCGCCTATATTATCTTATTCAGCTAAGCTCGTTTAATTCGCTTCTACAGCTGCAAGTCGAGCCGGCTGCAACAACACAGCTGACAGTTTTCTTGGAGCCACGTTCACGCCAGTAAGATTCACGTTCACCCGCACGTCTGTGACAGTCAATGCTTCAGATGAAAAACTAAGTCACGCTCAGCGGGGTGCGGACAAGTGGTCACGAATGAAAAGGTCAAGTCATATTGAAGTTTATAGTGGTCTGGCGCGTGGAAGTAGCATTGAGCAAAGGGGGAGGACTAGTGAGCAGACTCGAGCAGGGGATGTGGTCGTATTGGCTTCATTGTAACATGAAGGCACCCGAGGTATAAAAGTGAATTCATTGCATGCTAAAACTATTGACGCAGCAACAACTTGTACATTGGCAAATGCGTAGTTCGTATAGCAATAGCCGCTACGTTTCTTGATATCGACAGAGTACGCGCTCTCGAATCTGATCGGTTGTTGAAGTATGTTTTACCCGTAGTTTCCAACGCCAATTGAACACAAGCAAATCCACACGTCACACGTACCACTAATAAGCATTTATTCACTTGTGCGGGTAGTAGCTGGACGATCAGCTCCTGTTATCTTCCGCTCTAATGTCCGTGCAAGCAGTGCCAACGCTCGCGTCATGGCTTCACGCTCGCTCGTACGGGAAGACTTTGTCTGCACACTCAACACGGCACGCATCTCCGACTCTTTGCTATCAGGCTCCCACTCGATGAAAGCGGCCTCGGGGTAAATGCCGCGAATAACCTCTTCTACTTCTTGCACCTCTTTCTCGACAAGGCGAGTCACATCCTCCGCGTACCAAGCAAGAATGAGCAGCAAATCTTTAGTCAGAGCGCTTTAATTATGCAAAGCGTTAGCAATAGAGAGAGAGTGGGGGAGATGGTCTTTACCTCGCGGGGACGCAGTCATACTGTGCTGACGAGTCAGTTGCTGTGGTGGACACTAAATACGACCTGCTTGTGACGAAGCTCAACATTGGTGTGGACGACACCAAACACTCACTCCTCGTTTGTTTCAAGCAAACAAACGGCTCGAGATGCTGCGTCGGGTGTGGCAGCGAGCAGGTATGTGGCAGTCACCCGACGCGGTTCTATTGCGCCGTTGCTGTTAATGCACAGGAATGTGTGCTGCCGCGTCGACAAGATCGGTCCTCGCCACGCGCTTCGGCGCTGCGTCCGCGCGCGGTCGCCAGTCAATCAGACGCTGCCGAAAAAACGCTCCGCAGCCCGAACCAATTGAACGTTCTATTGTCCGATCAAACGCCGCCCACGACTTTTGTAGCCACTTGTCGCGCGTTGCGCGCCATTGACGAGACGGCGCTATTGATGACGATTGACGTCCGGACGTGGAGCGTGGCACTGCAGCGACGACTGGAGGCTCAAGACGAACGCGTGGCAGCGGAGCTCTTGGGTCTAATCGCGAGTTGTAGTTGCGAAAATGCAAGTGTACCCATGTGGACCGATTTGTTTTTTGCAGTGTGACGACAGCGTTCTTTACGCGGGTTTCGAACGGATGAGATGCAGGAGCTCTTGAGACAGTTGAAGCGGAGATACGGACCGCACTTTGTAGCCCGCGTGCTCGTAGACGTGGTCATGGCTGTGCCAATATCAAGATGTTTGCAGATGCTCACGAGCTGCTGCTGTATCAGCAGACGTTGTGGTCGGAGATTTGCTCTGGTACTACTACTACAGACGAGACATTGACGACGGGGTGGAGCGGGCAGAGTAAAGCGCTGATGCCGCCATCAGTGGTTGGCCACTTGATGGCCAAGATGACGCACAAGAAAAAGCACGGTCAAGTGCTGGCGCTTGCACGCGCGTAGTTTGCTAGTGCTGCGTTCGATCCAGTGCGAGAATTATAGCAACAAGGGTTCCTTGAACTGTTTAAAACAAGTGTGTACACGCAACAGAGTCCGAGGAATGTGGTGCACGTGTGTTCGGACTATGTGGAGGGAACGTGCCGTGCAGCAGGAGGCAAGGGGGAGAGAGTGAGGACACGAGTGCTCGAGCGAGGCTTTGGAGCTGCGATTCACTGCTGTGTAAATCTTGAAGAATATTCGTTGGCGTTGCATTGTTATAAAGTGATGGAAAGCACACGAGAGAGGCTCGTTTGTGCTGGGGACGACTTACCGGTGGACGACGCGATCGACGAAGCTGCAGAGAGGGTTGGCATCGTGGATGAAGTGCTGCTAGCTGATGAAAATATATACGTCAACGTTTTGAAAGCATGTACGGAGATCGAGGATTTCTCCACGTTTGAAGATGCGTTCCGCGGGATGGTAGCTCGAGGTGTGGCTCGTAGTGCTGGATTCGGGTCAGCGATTCGTTATTGTCACAAGCATTTGGATCCAGTGTTCCATGAAGAAGTGTTGGACGCGGTATTCTGGACAGAACAGAAGCTTGCAGGTGCCTGGACACTAGAGGTAGAAAACTATAACGATGCGCTTGGCTGATTTGCTGCTACGAATAGACCGGACCAAGCCAAGGAGCTGTTCTCGGAAATGCTGAACAACTCGTCGATAGTGCCCGGCATATTACGATGCTTGAGATGGTGGAGAGTCACTGCAACGCCTCGATCGAGGAGGCGTTTCATCTCATGGACGTGTTTCTTGAGTGGAAGCTAACATCGAATCTTCAGGTGTCCACATCGCTGCTGTCCATCTACATGCGCCGTCGTGAAGTAGGCAATGCTGTTGCGCTCATTGGTGCGATGGAAGAGCATGGTATCGTTCAGGATGTGAAGGCATTCACGACTGTGGCGTTCTATTATGCATCTCGCGGTGACTGAAGGCTGTGGGAGACGTTTTACGAGATGTGGCTAGTCAAGGTGTTGCTACCGACAGGATGTTCTTTGACTACGTCCTCAACGCACTGTACGGGTCGTGCGGTATCGACATGTGTTTCTCGCTCTTACGTGAGCTGAGTGCAAACAAGCTGGCGATTCCAGACGGGCTGTACATCTCGATGGTTGATCTCGGTACCACGCTTGGTTTACTTTGTAGTGGTACGCGTGACATGTGGATTCACTTGTGTTCAATCGGCGTTGGAAACTACGGGTAAAATGTACTTCAACAACCGATCAGATTCGAGAGCGCGTACTCTGTCAATATCAAGAAACGTAGCGGCTATTGCTATACGAACTACGCATTTGCCAATGTACAAGTTGTTGCTGCGTCAATAGTTTTAGCATGCAATGAATTCACTTTTACACCTCGGGTGCCTTCATGTTACAATGAAGCCAATACGACCACATCCCCTGCTCGAGTCTGCTCACTAGTCCTCCCCCTTTGCTCAATGCTACTTCCACGCGCCAGACCACTATAAACTTCAATATGACTTGACCTTTCCATTCGTGACCACTTGTCCGCACCCCGCTGAGCGTGACTTAGTTTTTCATCTGAAGCATTGACTGTCACAGACGTGCGGGTGAACGTGAATCTTACTGGCGTGAACGTGGCTCCAAGAAAACTGTCAGCTGTGTTGTTGCAGCCGGCTCGACTTGCAGCTGTAGAAGCGAATTAAACGAGCTTAGCTGAATAAGATAATATAGGCGCGTTTACAGAAGGCTGTCGCATCAGTACAGAGTATTGTTGCTGTGACTGCGCATGTTTCTTGAGTATGCTTTTATTGTTAACATCAACAAAGTCGCGAACCATGTTTAACAGATAGATAGATTAAAAACGTTTATCGCTAGACTACGGTCAAAGACATTGAAAGTGTAAAGTAGTTGACACTTGAGATTGTCGAACAAAACGAATCAGCTCGATCGTAGTGGCTCAATTGGCGTTGGCGCTTGTTCTTTAAATGGAGCAGTGTCCGGCTGTACCACGTCCTATCTTCACCATCTTCATCAGGATCGCGAGTAGCAACGAGCTGTGTGAACTCGTTGGTATTAATCTCGTTGCAAATAGGCTTCAACTTGAACCTGTTCACCGGATGGGCATCTGCAGTACCCGCTTGGGTAGCATGGCACTTGTTGTGCCTGCTTGCTTCCTTTAGCGGGCGCAGTGCGTGGCTATACCCAATGGTGCAGTGCTTCTCATCACTTGAGCGCAGCTTGGTGAGCTGGTTGAAGTCCCAATCAGTGGGACTAACGCTCTTCTCGTAGATGCCGCATGCTTTGGAAGCAATCTCCGACAGCACACTCAGTACATGACGGATACTCTCTTCAACGAGGTTGTACAAGTTCTGGATCTCGATAGTAATCCACTAGTAAACACATGCACACAGAAGAGAAACGTCAGCAACAAGTAAATTGATAGATCGACAGAAGGAATCATGCACTCGCCATGATTATTCAAACTGGTGAGGTTGTTAACGCGATTGTGTTGAAGACTCGAGTGTTGCTGATGTCGATTTTTTCAGAATGAAGTCGTCCTCGCTCATGCCTTTGCTCCGACCCGTGAGATGCACCGACCCAAGTCTGCGACGTGCGAGTAAGTACGCATTTCTCTCACCAATCAGGCATACTCTCCATGCTTGTTCGACCCATCAAGCGACTACACTTCCTGCAGTCTCTTACTTGTTCTTCTATAATGAGGTCTGGTCATCTCATGTACCTCGTCCCAAGACCGACTACATGGCTCACGTCATCATTACCTACCTGACCTATAAAATAGTAGTCAAAATAAGTATAATAAACACCTGCACAACGTCATCTCCAGCCAGCACTCTCTGCATTGTGTCAGCACTCTCTACATTCAGTCACTAGTCTCTGATATCCTTTCACCTATGCGACGTTAAGAGTTGCCGCGGGAGCGTTTCGGATTCTATTTTTGATCGAAATGCGTTCAAGTGTGGCATTTTCGACAGAAAACACGGTCTCAAGTCGCGCGCAGCAGCAGACGAGCACTTGGGCTGATTATGGCAGTGAACGAAACGACACGAGTGATCAACTTGATGATTACGATGACGGTTACAAAGCGGACGTTGAGCAGGGGTGCTGCTCGCCCAATTGAATGGATCATCGAGCTCTTGTAGCAGTCAAATGATGGAAAGTCGGCGGCAGTAAAGGGGACGACAACTGATGAGGTGCAAATGACAAAGGAGACGCCAAGGAAGACCACAAGACAGAAGGCGAACGAAAGTGCACGAATATGTGCTGTGTATTCTTCGGTTTTGCGTGATTTGGTGCCGCACATTCATTATCGTAAACGTCATCCTGTCAACACTGCAGAAGGTTTTCATCTCGAGACGAAGCCCTCGTGGTCCTGTGCTTGGAACTCGCGCTGCTTGCGTTAACTCACTCGCTCGTGCACTTCGACAAAGTCACGGCAGCTGAGCTAGACCTCGATCCAGATGCTGGGAAGTCCACTGTTGAGCTCGTTCAAGCGCGTGGCTACGTAGTGGAGACGCACAATGTCACGACAATAGATGGATACATCCTCTCCATGCATCGCTTACCAATGTCGTACAGAGAAAGCCAAGCAGATACCACCGACAACGACAAGGCAGACCGAAACAAACCAGCTGTTTTCGTCCAGCATGAAATGGTGGCCAGTAGTTTCGCATGGGTGTGCGACTCCCGGAACCACAGTCTCGCCTATGTGCTTGCTGATGCTGGCCACGATGTCTGGCTTGGGAATAATCGCGGCAATACGTACTCGTCCAGCCACGTTAAGTACACGACCAGATACACTGCGTTCTGGGACTTTTGTGGGAAGACATGGGCAAGTTTGACATGCCAGCAACGCTCAACTATGCTCTGGAGACATCGGGACGGGAGACACTGGCTCTTGTAGGGTATTCGCAGGGGTCAACTCAGGCATTCTTCGCGTTTGCTGCAAAAACCAGACCCTCGCTCGATCCGTGTCCTATTGTGCGGCTCTGGGATCTGTTGCCTGGCTAGGCAATACAGATTCGAGGACGTTCAAGCTCCTTGCTCGTGCCTACTTCGACAAGGTCCTCGAGGCCTCCGGTCAAGTCCAGCTCTTTTCGCATAACGCGTTGCTACAAAAAAGCATTCAACCGGCTGCATGTCACATGGGTCCGAAATTGTGCGCCTCGGGGTTCGCACTCGTAGTCAAATCTACGGAGAACTTGAACGCATCTCGTATAGGCGATTGCGCTTCAGATGTGCCCTCAGGAACCTCCGTCAAGAGCATGCGCCACTATGCCCAAAGCACCCGCGAAAACACCTTTTCGGCGTTCGACTATGGCTGCAGATGTCCTCGCATGCTTGGCATTCACCTGTGTTCGAAAACAGGTGCACCAACAAAGTCAAGTACGGCAGCTTTGACCCACCAGATTTTCCCATTAGCAGCATGGAGTACCCTCGCACTGGTTTATTTACTGATGGAACGACATCTTCGCCACTCGAGCTGACATCGATCAGTTACTATCTGCGTTGCTGTCCAGCACAATTGTCTATGAGAAAGAGATCAGCAGCTTTAGCCATTTGGACTTTGTTTGGACTGTTCAAGCCAACGAAAAGCTCTACCAACCCCTGCTTAAGCAGCTTGAGCAGTACGTCGGCACCGGATAATAGCATAGATGGAACAAAAAACAATGAAATGCCGTGTGAAAGAAGAACGATACGGACCGTTATTTTGTGGGTACATTTGCCTTGAGCGCGGCGCAGCAAAGCGCACCAACAAATACGCTCAAGCAATCAAATCAGTGCACCCCACTGATCTAGCCAGCTCCTGCACTTTCGGGACTTCGTTTTTGCGATTGAATTGCGCCAGCACCGATATCAAATCTTCATACATTTCCACCTCAAAGCGCGGAGTCTGGGGCGGCACGCCCTGGGCTAACATCACATACGTCCGCACAAACTCCGAAATCTCGCCGTCCGAGTGACAACGCATCATCAACGCGTACAACTGCTTCGATGAGAGATGAAAGCCTTAGCACTCCTTGTCGTAAGCAATACGCAGCGTGCGCTCAATCAAACCAATCGTGGTGCCGAGATCAATTAGCGAGATGTACAGCCCGTCTGGAATCGCCAGCTTGTTTGCACTCAGCTCACGCAAGAGCGAGAAACACAGGTCGATACCGCACGACCCGTACAGTGCGTTGAGGACATAGTCAGAGAACATCCTGTCGGTAGCAACACCTTGACTAGCCACATCTCGTAAAACGTCTCCCACAGCCTTCAGTCACCGCGAGATGCATAATAGAACGCCACAGTCGTGAATGCCTTCACATCCTGAACGATACCATGCTCTTCCATCGCACCAATGAGCGCAACAGCATTGCCTACTTCACGACGGCGCATGTAGATGGACAGCAGCGATGTGGACACCTGAAGATTCGATGTTAGCTTCCACTCAAGAAACACGTCCATGAGATGAAACGCCTCCTCGATCGAGGCGTTGCAGTGACTCTCCACCATCTCAAGCATCGTAATATGCCGGGCACTATCAACGAGTTGTTCAGCAGTTGCGAGAACAGCTCCTTGGCTTGGTCCGGTCTATTCGTAGCAGCAAATCAGCCAAGCGCATCGTTATAGTTTTCTACCTCTAGTGTCCAGGCACCTGCAAGCTTCTGTTCTGTCCAGAATACCGCGTCCAACACTTCTTCATGGAACACTGGATCCAAATGCTTGTGACAATAACGAATCGCTGACCCGAATCCAGCACTACGAACCACACCTCGAGCTACCATCCCGCGGAACGCATCTTCAAACATGGAGAAATCCTCGATCTCCGTACATGCTTTCAACACGTTGACGTATACACTTTCATCGTCTGGCAGCACTTCATCCACGATGCCAACCCTCTCTGCAGCTTCGTCGATCGCGTAGTCCACCGGTAAGTCGCCCCCAGCACAAACGAGCCTCTCTCGTGTGCTTTCCATCACTTTATAACAATGCAACGCCAGCGAATGTTCTTCAAGATTTACACAGCAGTGAATCGCAGCTCCAAAGCCTCGCTCGAGCACTCGTGTCCTCACTCTCTCCACCTTGCCTCCTGCTGCACGGCACGTTCCCTCCACATAGTCCGAACACACGTGCACCACATTCCTCGGACTCTGTTGTGTGTACACACTTGCTTTAAACAGTTCAAGGAACCCCTGTTGCTATAAATCTCGCACTGGGTCGAACGCAGCACTAGCAAACTACGCGCGTGCAAGCGCCAGCACTTGACCGTGCTTTTTCTTGTGCGTCATCTTGGCCATCAAGTGGCCAACCACTGATGGCGGCATCAGCGCTTTACTCTGCCCGCTCCACCCCGTCGTCAATGTCTCGTCTGTAGGAGTAGTAGTACCAGAGCGAATCTCCGACCACAACGTCTGCTGATACAGCAGCAGCTCGTGAGCAGCTGCAAACATCTTGATATTGGCACAGCCATGACCACGTCTACGAGCATGCGGGCTACAAATTGCGGTCCGTATCTCCGCTTCAACTGTCTCAAGAGCTCCTTCATCTCATCCGTTCGAAACCCGCGTAAAGAACGCTGTCGTCACACTGCAAAAAACAAATCGGTCCACATGGGTACACTTGCATTTTCGCAACTACAACTCGCGATTAAACCCAAGAGCTCCGCTGCCACGCGTTCGTCTTGAGCCTCCAGTCGTCGCTGCAGTGCCACGTTCCACGTCGGACGTCAATCGTCATCAATAGCGCCGTCTCGTCAATGACGCGCAACGCGCGACAAGTGGCTACAAAAGTCGTGGGCGGCGTTTGATCGGACAATAGAACGTTCAATTGGTTCGGGCTGCGGAGCGTTTTTTCGGCAGCGTCTGATTGACTGGCGACCGCGCGCGGACGCAGCGCCGAAGCGCGTGGCGAGGACCGATCTTGTCGACGCGGCAGCACACATTCCTGTGCATTAACAGCAACGGCGCAATAGAACCGCGTCGGGTGACTGCCACATACCTGCTCGCTGCCACACCCGACGCAGCATCTCGAGCCGTTTGTTTGCTTGAAACAAACGAGGAGTGAGTGTTTGGTGTCGTCCACACCAATGTTGAGCTTCGTCACAAGCAGGTCGAATAAATAACAAATCAAAAGCCTTAATTAACTAAATAAGAAAAAAACAATTCTCAGAAATCAAAAAACAATTAAATTACTAAATGTTTAAAAGGAACTAGCAACAACCGTTGATTGGAGTTTATACCGAGATTTTTTTTAAAATCCATTAAACAATATCTTCTCCGGCTGATATAAATATGGCCTTAGACGTAATACGAGAAGTTCATTCTTTTTTTATCGAATACTAATTGTTGACGGTCATCGGTTTCCTACCAGTATTGGTAACCGTGACCGGTCCAATCCGAACCGCCTGTTCAGCTTAGTACTTACGACGTAGTTCTTACGGTGATTACCATAGTTGATTAGACGCCTAGAATGATGAGACGCTTCACATGATTTATATGTGGTGCACATATAAATCATGTAGTAAGTACTAAGCCCCGATAATCAATCACTTTCGAATTCTCCTTCTGCCGAGCAAGTCTTCTCTGCTCCGCTCCTCAAGCCTCTTCGTTCCCTCCGGTCTCTTCCGGTCTTCTCGTCACTCCCGTGCCATACCTTTTAACAGGTTATGGGCCCAAGCGCAATGTCTTCTGCCGGCCACGCATCCTACAACGTCCTCATCGATAAGTTCGATAGGGACAACTATTTGACCTGGAGTCGATACATGCGTGGCGTGTTCCTGACAAAGTCAGTGTGGCATGCTGTCAACCGGGAGAGCTCCCCGACGTTCATGGACCCTCGAGAGCAGGACGACTACGTCAAGACCAGCAACATCGCGTTTAAAATGATGTTGCTGCACATGGGTGCGGACTACCACCATATGGTTGACAAACTGCGAGGAAGCGTGGGTTGCGTGGCAAAGTCTGAAGGTGCTGTACGGTGGGTCCCAGAAAGCGGGAAGGATCTACCTCAAGCGTCAACTCTTCAGCCTGAAGATGGATGAAGGCGCCAACGTCATGCATCACTGCAACGAGGTCCTGAACATCACCGCCAAGCTTAGCAGCATCGGTGCGAAGATAGAGGACGAGGACGTCGCAATTTGCCTTCTGCTCAGTCTCCCTAAAAGTTTTGAGAACGTTATACTAAACTTGGAGATGAGCAGCGCAGAGCTTCGTACCCAAGATATGGTGAAAGTGCTCACGAATGAGCACACCAAGCGCCAAGGGGAGAAGGTGACAACAACAGCGACGATGGTCAAAACTGAAGATGCAGCCAAGTCCTTCAACACTGAGCGCAAGCCATACAAGTGCACCTACTGTGGGAAGGTGGGACACACCGTCGATCGCTGTTGTTCCAAGCAGAAGAATGAAAGTCGAGGAGCCCGACGCGGCGGCAATGGTCGTGGACGCGGGGCAAACAATGTCCAGTGGGGACAATCTCGTGATGAAGGCAGCGACTACGATCAAGTAGTGTTTGCAGTTTCGCTAGAGTGTGGACTCTCAGCGAAGAAGGACGTGTCCGGAATGTGGGCCGTCGACAGTGGTGCAACACACCACATATGCCACGACAAGACCAAGTTTGCAAGACTGAACAAGCGCAACGACGGTGAAATCTTGGTGGCGGATGGCAACAAAGTGGCCATCAAGGATGTTGGAACCATCTTTGAAAAGGTGGTTCTGCCCGACGGTGAAGAGCGCGAGATCGAGATCAAGAACGTGCTTTACGTACCAAGCATGAGCAAGAATCTACTTTCGGAACCGCAGATCAACGAGCACGGAAAGTTTCAAGTCGTGTTCGACTGGACCAAGATGTTTGTCGCTCTCAAAGGATCGCAACAAGTGGTGGCAACAGCAGATCTTGTGGATGCCTTTACTGGCTTCACACAGCTCACCGATCGGCCAATGCGACAACAAACGGAAGCAACGGTGTCAAATTACATGCGCGGATGGGACACGCTCCAGCTGATGTGCTTCGCATCATGGTGGCCACGAACATGATCAAGGATGTATAGGTACCTCTCAAGTCAAGTGGATCAAGCGCATGTCGATGATGTCAACAAGGGAAAATGGTCACAAAACCATTCCCACGCAACCAGGACAAGCGCAGATACGACACCTTCGAGCTACTTCACGTCGACATCTGCGGATCCATGGAGATGAATTCTCTGGGTGGTAGCAAGTATCTACTGCTGATCGTTGACGAATCCAGTGGATGCATGAAGGGCTTCTGTCTACGTGTGAAGTCGGAGAGTGAAAACTACATCACACGATATATCAAGATGGTGCAAGCGCAATTTGGAAAGAAGGTCAAGCTCGTCCGACACGACAGAGCCCGCGAGTTCGCAACCAACTCGCTTCAAGAATTCTACAAAGATCAAGGCATTGAGCAGCAGACGACGGTGCCATATGCACACCAGACCAACGGCACGGCAGAGCGCGCCATTCGGACTATCGTCACAATTAGTCGCAGCATGCTCCACCATGCTAAGTTGGAAAAGTGCTTCTGGCCGAAGCAGTAATGACGGCAATCTATGTCAAGAACCGTCTGCCGTCACCTAAAGCTATGCACAAGACTCCGTTCGAGATCGTCCACAACTCCAAGCCAAGTGTCAAGCACATGCAGGTGTTCGGTTGTCAGGTTTGTATACTGACACCGAAGGAGAAGCAGCCCAAGTGGGACCCCAAGGCTCGCACTGGGATATTCTTGGGCTACCAAGAAGCATCCAAAGCGTATCGCGTTTATGACATCGAGGCGGGGCAGGTGTTCATCATCCGCGATGTCAACTTTGACGAGTCCGCCTTTGGACTTTCGCCGCCTACCACCGCTGAAGACGCCGATGACCTTGACTTCGACTCCCTCGATCTGGATGATGAAGCGCCAGGTCAAGCGCAGTACAAGCAAACAGGCAAGCGCAAGAGTCGTCCCCATGATGAAGGATAACCAGCTCCACCCACGCGCACAGTGCGTCAACGGCCTGGACTGGAATAATCAAGTGCGCCAGACAACCACACGACCCACCAAGAAGAATATGAAGAAACAAAGAATGCTGATGCATCGACTCCGCCTGTGTTTTGGCGTGCGAGTGCGAACGCCATCGAAACAGCAGTGGACTTATCCGAGCCATCGACTTTTAAAGATGCGGTGAGCGTTCCTGATCAAGCGCATTGGCGCGAAGCTATCCGTGCGGAACTTGAGTCAGTGCGACTTCGTGAAGTATTCCGCGCAGCCAAGCTACCTAAAGGACATTGCGCCATTGGCACGAAGTGGGTCTTCAAGATCAAGCGCAAAGCGGACGGATCAATTGACAAGTACAAGGCGCGTCTTGTGGCAAAGGGTTTCAAGCAACAATACGGGATGGACTACACGGAAACATTCTCGCCCGTCGCCAAGTACGTGACGCCGCGCATGGTGATTGCAGTCGCCAAGTATTTCGGATGGATCATCGACCAACTCGACGTGGTGACGGCGTTCCTGTATGGTGTCATGAAGGAACAAGTGTTCTGCGTCATCCCTGAAGGCGTAGAATTGGAGGGCCCCTTCGATTGTCTGGGGTTGGTGAAGGCAATCTACGGACTAAAGCAAGCGTCGCGCGTATGGGACGAAACGTTTGACGAGTTCGTGTGCGATTGGATTTCAAGCGTCAAGCCTCGACCCGTGTCTCTACATAAGGATTGTGGAAGGGCAATGCGTGCTACTGCTGGTGTATGTGGATGACATGTTGATCACCGGTAGCTCATGCGAGCTAATTGCACGTACCAAGACCGACCTTAAGACAAGATTCGAGATGACTGACAGCGGCAAGTGTGCATTCGTGCTTGAAATCGATCTTTTGGACGGCGCAGATGGAAGCGTGACACTATGTCAGCGTCGGTCTGTAGATGACATACTCAAGCGCTTTGGCATGGATGATTGCAAGGCCGTCGCAAGTCCAGTCGACATGAGCTCTCGACTTGTTTCAAGTGGTGCAGTCACCAAGGTCGATGCTCCTTTTCGCGAAGCTGTTGATGCGTTGATG